TCCTTGGCCATGATTTGAAATCAGAAATTATTAGAGACACTATATAACCTACAGACATAGATTTTGTATGGATGATTACAATGAAGTATGGTCATTCTTTATTGAAACTGTTGTGCTAAAGTTTGTATACATATATACATGTATGAGAAGCCCTTGTACAGTATATATCTGTTGTTTTGCTCGCCTTTTCTTCTTTTATTATGCTTAATTAAACAAAAGCTTTTTAAAAGAAAGAACAACTATGTAACAATACGAAGCAAATATATGAGTCCTCATCATAGTATACTGAAGGGAATCTTTCTTTTTGGCCACAACACCTGGGGCAACTATTGGTTGGCAAACCCTAATTACAGTAGGCCCTAAAGGAAGCATCCATACCCCAGTTGCTCAGTGCAACTCCCAACCACAGAAAGCATTCAACCCCATTCGAAATGCAGGGATCCTCTTCCCAGGATATTCTTCTGCTCATTATGACAGCCAGCCACTGTATATAACATCAGGAGACCTATAATGACTGGAACACCATGTATATCTTCAATTGGAAGGTTCAAGGAAAACACCATCTATTCCCCAAATCAAAACCACAGGGATGGGATAGACACTCAGTTCACATGTAACAGAATTCTAGATTTTGTTACCCTGATTTGTTTAACAAGCCATAGCTGCTGGGTTCCTAATACTAAACCATAATGGTAAGTTCACATCACAGGGCAAAACAAACCTCTTTATTCTTTAGCATTATATATGACCCAAGCCACTCTTTACAATCTTTAAAATGTCAGCCTCTAAACTAGGAGTGTGAATTTATATCTACTGTAAAGTGCCTTATACATGTTAAATGCTCTAAAAATAGCATTATTGGAATTATAACAGGTGCTGATAAAGGCTATCTTTCTATACATTTTCAACAGTAAATTCCATATAATTTCTTGTACACACACAGAGGATTGAACTTTGTGAAGTACCTCTAAACCTAAGGGTGGGAAAACCATGGCCCTCCACACATTGTTGGGCTCTAATTCCCATCAATCTTAATTACCATGGTTAAATGGTTATGGATAAGGGAATATTCAGTCTAGCAATAGCTGGGGGAATGCAGATTTCTCAAAGTGGTTTTAACCATCCACAATTCCTCATTTGACCTCATATTCACAGTCAAATGTAGCATTACACTGATTTCTGAAAGCAACATTAAAACAAACTACAGTTCCCTGCCTCCTAAGTAAATCTTCCTCATTAATTCCTAATTTTTCCAGAGGATCCTTCCTTCTTCACAGTTCCAGTCCCCGTAAAGTACACCTTATGTCCCACTTGCTGGTAACTTATGTAATCAGTCTTGATCTGCAGAATCAAAATAGGCACCTAGAACAATTAAAAATATAACACTATGTTTCACATCAGTTCTACTGTCCTCCCCCCTCGCTGTACTTATACCAAAACCCAGAGATAGCTGATGATGGGAAACCAGAGATAGTTGACACTGGAATATTTTTGTTTTTTGTTGCACTGCTTATCTTGTCTTGCATCTTCCTATAAGTTGATTAGACCAAGAACATTCCATGAAGCTGCAAACTACTCTTAAGAAAACCCCACTGAATACAGGGTGATTTATTTCTGAGTAAGCACAACCAGGAATCCACTGCTCCAGAAGTGAAGATGTGATCAGGACACTCTTATTTTCATTCTAGCATCCATCACTTCCTTACTTCTCTTCTTTAATGGTTTGCCTGCCTCGGACAGCAGGCAGGAAAAACAAAAAGATGTATCGTGATAACATATTCTAGAATTCAGAATGTTCCTCAAGACCAAAGGCCTTTTCCCCATTAGTCACTTACAGCAGAGGTTTCAAACTTTTTCAGGCTGCAGAACTTGATCGTCTCTCTCTCTTTCTCTCCCCGTCCCTCCCTGATCAAGAGGCAAAACTCCAGTGATAGAAAATTGACTGTGTTCAACTGAATCTTGGTCTTTCATGGAACTCCATCAACTTCTTATGGAACTCTAGGGTTCCATGGCACAGAGTTTCAAAACCCTTGGCTTATATATCTTCTAGCATCATCCAGCCATCACTGAGACAGTATAAAGCCTGTTCTTGTTCTTGTTATATTGGAATCATGATGGTTGGATGACGCTAGAAGATACTAAGGGCTTTTCCTTAATTGTACCTAACCACAGATAATTGCTCCAGTGCTGTCTTTTTCCTGCTGTGTCCAAAACATTACCATAATTTTATCCCCATCCCACAAGTGATACAGGCGTATGTTGTCCTAGCTGTATTAGGGTTATAGTACTTTTTCTCTATTATTTTGATCCCATGCAAGGGCAGCCAGAAGGTGTAAAAAATCTGTTAGGCTTTTTCATCCATTACACTAGAGGGCACTGAGATGGTTTGCAGCAATGTGAAACAGAAGCAGCAGAGGTAGGATAGGGATCATGATGGGGACAGTAAATTTACTGCTGGTAGTTTCCTGTCAACTTATGGATGGATGGAGAGCACCGGAGCTCAGCCAGCGGAGAATCTCTGTAAGTTAACTATGGGGATGATCCCTTGTGGGCTAAGATGGCATTGGACTCCTCGTTTAGGATTTTGCCCCACTTGCATTTGCCCTTTACTATGGCACAATCATACCTTGACAACATCAATTTTCTCTTTGTTAAGATGATGCCTCACCTCATCTCCACCCCTAAGTGAAACAGCTTAAGTCTTCATTTGATGAACTGGAAAACTAGTATTTCCTCCCCTTAAGCTGACACTATTCTATCCCAGTTTCAAGTTGTATGCAATCTGTAATGCTTTGTCAACCGTTCTATTGGAGGCACGGTCTGGGTGTTCTGGGTGTGATCAAATGTGCATTTGGGGACTGTTGAGAAATGGAGGCATGACCCTCCCATTTGGTCACTAGTCCAGCCATTTCTCGCCCAGCACTGGCCTTCTTCATTAGCGCTTTGTTTCTTCAGCTCACTTCATTTCATACCTGTAACCTCCCCTACTCTTTTGACACCAACTTCTCACCATGCTTCCAGGTAGAGGAATGGAAAGCAGGTCTCTGCTACTTCATTTGGGGAAGAAGATGCGGAGTGTTTGTGCTAGTCTGTTTTAACTGTGTTCTGAGTTATATTTTTACTTTAACCTACAGCAACTCCACCTTTTCTTACTGCAGTGTTCAGAAAAGAGTGAGGGATATTTGCCAGTTTCCTTGTATTTACCAGTTTCAATCACTTCCCCTCTACGTCTCAGACTTCCAGTGAAGCAAAAGAGGAGCGGTCCAGGTCAAGTCAGTTCTTCCACTCTACAGGACTTAGCTGCATTTCTATTCTACTGTCTTCTAATATGCTTCTTTATGTCCATAATTTTAACTTGTAAGATGTCCAGGCAGGATGAGGGCAGAAGGGCAAACAACCAAGAAACCTGGGGATCGTCCCACCTCTTTCCGGTTGCAGTGCTCACTGCTGGATGTCTCCTCTGCCAGGCTGAAGTGGGACAGCAGCAAAGGCAGAAAGGAAAACTTGGCTGTAATGAGTAGTACCCTCATAAATCAGGACCACACCACTTAGCAGTGACTCACATAGAGGCAGTAGATGGAATAAGGATTTGCAAAGCAGCGAATTTTCTATCAGTGTATTTTCTGTCAACTCAAGGGTGGAGAGCACTTAATATTCAATAAAGGGGAAAGGAGCTAACACAGCAGGCAGGGATGTGATTTTCCATAATTATAGAACTGACAAGCAGCTCAGCCCCAACTGAGCTATCATGTTTTATTTGTATACTCTATTCTGCCCACTTTTCTACTTTTATAGGACTCTAGGTCCTGTTAAGATTTATTACTGAACAGGAAAAGTATAACTTCACCCCACCCCCACATTTAGGTAGCATTCAAAGCTTCACGCTACAGATGCCTCGTGACAACTAAACATCGTTCCCCTTTTTCCTTCTTTTACTCAGCCAAGACAATAGAGCTTTAGGGTACAAACTGCATGGCTGGGTTTGCAGGGATTCTTAACCAGTTCACTAAAAGACCCAGAGATCTCATGCAAAATGCTAGGCTTGGTTAATTTGTGCCTGTGGGAATGGGTATATGTGGCTGAGCCTGTTGTGGAAACCTAACCCATTTTGTCTGAACCCAGAACATGATTTCATTTGGTAACCAAATTATGAGTATTGTATGAAACCAGCATGTCCAGGATGATAAATGCAGGTTGGCTGGAATGCCCACAGCCCACAGCCATCTGAAGTTCCCGTTCACAGACAGTTCCTGTTTTGGTAACAGAGACAGACACTGTCCAAATTCTAAACTCCCCAACTTGAATTCAGTGGTATCTCCTTCCCTGAGCGGACTGGATGCTACCCCTCTGAAGAGATTATATATTATCCTGGGGAAAGGTCCAAGGAACAAAAGGCAACAAAAGGATAGGATGGAAGCAAGATTAGTTGTCAGGATAGAAAGTTATTGAGAAATACAATGACCTCTAGATTTAGAATCCCCCCACCTTGATTTCTTTTGCCCATTATTTCTCATTTATTGTCTGCATTTTGCATACTACTGCTTTGCCTGAAATGAAACAGCGTGATTCCTATGTCCTTATCTATATATGTGCAAGAGATATGTTACAATTGTAGATTATTGTAAACTGCCAAAAGGCTTAATAGATAGTATATAAAGTCTTAAGAATGGTGCCTAAGTCTGTGGTTACTGCAGAAATCTCTGCACATGTGCAAGGTTTTGCCTTGATCACTTCTTCTCTTTCTCTATCCTGGCTCACATTAAACGAAGAAAGTGTGTGTGTGTGTGTGTGCGCGTGTGAAGGGTTATGTAAAGAACAACTCATGGTTCCTATTTAGACTGACCTGTATTTATCTCTCTGATTAAAACATCAAGAGTATAATGTTTGGGAAGCTGGGGCAGTCGGGAACGAGAGAAAGACAGACAAGGGGTCAGGTGCCGACCACTCCCCGCAGCAGCACTTTCCGCGCCCGCCCCCCCGCGCCGCTCCGCTCCGCTCACCAAGTTTGCACTCGCCGTCGTGGGCCTTCCGCACGCGCTCGCGGCCGTCGAGGAGCGCGCGCCAGCTGCGCAGGTGGAGAGCGCACACGCTACCGTAGGAGCGGCCGTCGGAGCCGCAGACGGCGCCGTCCTCCTTGCAGACGCAGTGCCC